AACCACCGCCACCACCACCACCACCCCACTTCTTTACCATCATCAAAGACAACAGAGGCATTGGTCGACAACCACCCGACCATGACCACGACCACACAGAGCTCTGGCAAACACCGACAAGGGAGCAGCTACAACGGTCCACGGCAGGACCCACAACCACCACAACCACCACCACGGACACAGAGGAGTGCGGAAGGGGGAACAACAGCAACGAGGAACAAGATGGAACCACCACAGATGAGGAGAACTTCGGCCTCATACGCAGAAGGAGACGCACCCCAATCGGGGGAGGCCGCAGAAGGGAAAAGCCAAGCCACAGCAGAACAACACCAGCAGCCAACCACAACACCACCGCCCCACACCCTGTGCAAACAGCAAGCGCCATTGCATCCCTACAGGGGGCAATCACAGCAGTCACCACACAACTACAACTTATCCAAGAGATAGCTGACACGATGCAGGGGGCAGATGGGCAAGTGATCTCAAACATTTGCTCCATAGCCTTAGCCATGCTCGCTCAAGATAGTGCCGCAGCCCTACCAACAATGCAGGGGAGAAGCATCCCACATGAAGTCGACGCAGGAGCGCTCCGGGAAAGCCTACAGACAGATCTCCAGCATGAGAGTGCGCAGGGGAGAGGGACTCACCAATGAAGAGTACGCACAAGACCTGAGCTCAGTGCGAAACCTCTGTGAGATGGGGGGAAACGAACTACAAGCAGAACTACCTCCTCAAGTTCCTCCTGGACTACGACAACAAGCGGGGAAGGCCATGAACCAGGCGTACAACATGCTGGACGCGGTCATCCTACGAGCCATGGGGGGAGACCGCTCCTGGAATACCCTCAGCTGGTGGTCGGACCTTCAAGCCGCCGTACTGCAGGGAGCTGCGCTGGGAGAACAACAGACGATGACACAGATGCCAGCCAGCACACCACCGACCGGGGGAACCACAGCCCACCCGGCCGACGTCATCACCCTGCTAGAGCCGGGGACAAAGGAGTGGACAGCGCGCACCACTCAGATGCACTCCACGGCCAGACGCCTCATGGACGCCGCCAAAGAGCTCAAAGAGAAAGTCCCCTACATGGGGGGAGAAAGTATTGGAGCCGCTGTCCAAACCCTAGCGGCGCTCGAAGCATGGCAACAAGCCTACTTTGGGGGCACACATGCCGTGCATGACAGCACCCAGACAGGGGAAGAAGGAGAAGATGAAGGGGAAAGAACCAAAAGTGCAGAGCCAGCTGCACCCCACAGCGACAGGGGAACCAAAAGGCGGTGGATCGGCTTGCAAGGCATGACAGAAGCCGATGCCATGGCACTCGAGACTGACAGCTTTCTCGCAGACCTGGGGGAAGTGGAAGCCATGGACACGCTGCCGCTACCGACCGCGCCGGACGTGAGCTCCGCAGATGCGGAAACACTACCTTGGCCAAACGCTGCCGGGGGGAGAAGCTCGAGCCCTTCTACACGACCACGCAGTGAGGAGCCGGGGGAAGACACGGACTCCAGCCCGGCCTCGCACTCCAGGCTGCTCTCTACGACAGACACGGCCCCATCTAAAGGAGGGGAAGCCGACCCATGTCGCAAGCTGGCCGCAACACTTCTGTTTGCCATGTTGTGCTCTGTAAGTGGGGGGATCAAGCCACAAAGCAACTGGAGCCAGTAGACACGCCAGTGGGGAACCCCAGTCGTCGTTACTGCATCGCACTTGTACTCAAGCTGTTGTTTTGGGGAAGAACAAGGGGGGGAACCACCAGCAGCCTCCTCCACATCATTGTTATATCGTCCTGTGTTCTGCATGAACTGGCATACGGTGTGTTGTAAGGCCTGGCCCTTAACTACGTCGCAACGTAAAGAGAGGGGGCAGCTGCAGTACGACTAACCTACAGGGGGAGTAGCGTGTGGTGCAGGAACTAAGGACATAGCCTAAGAGGGCGCGGAGGTGAGGCCGGGATGCGGGCATAAAGTCAAGGGTTGAGGGTCGGTTCTGCACCAGACGCACTCTACCTGTTGTAAGTACCACTGGGGGAAATCCTCCACAACAGATCCCAATGCCTCCTTCCACCAACAAGGCAGGAAGGGGGGGGCCTTAGGCCCGGGTCTGCTCGCAGACTCAACCCCGGCAGCGAGCGAGCGAGCGAGACCTCCAGACACCGGACCCCGCCACAGCACCACCACCAACGGCGCGGGGTGTTCAGTTGACCCCTGCCCTGCTGTTTCCTCACCTAGGGGACCCGTGCCGGCACCAACAACACTCCACCAAACCAACAAGTAGGAGGTAGTGCTCAGAACAGACACCTGGTCAGTAACGGGGACAAAGGAGGTTGATGCCCTGCAAGTCGAGACTTGTTGCCTAAGAGGTTGTGACTTGTTGTGTTGGGCACCCCAAACTGGCCGGAGCCGATGACTCGTGGAAAACCCACGGCCAACTAGCACAGACACAGGCGTGTTCGGCAAGGCAGGGCACATGTAGGCAGGTATGCTGGGAAGGCGTGTTGCGAGGTTCAAGGGACCTGCCGAGCACCTTGTAACAACGTTTCACACAAGACTCGGACAGTGGCGTAGCGCTTGCGCGCAGGGGCAGTGGGGGCTAACCCCCTGCGTCCCCACACGCCTTGCAAGCAAGCAAGCAAGAGAGAGAGAGAGAGAGACAGGATGACCAGGTTATTCTTCGTGCGCTGGGGGGGGATAGACAGTGGAACACCCTAGCATGGTGGAACGAGCTGCACGACCTCCTTGCACCAGCAGCTCTCCTGACCACTAAGAGGGGAGAGGCCACAGTCATGGCAGATGATCCTACCATGGCACACCCGGCGGATGCAATCGCTTTTGCGGGGGAAGCCAATGCAGAATGGGAAGCACGATCCTCACAAAGATCCTCAGCAACTACTAGACTACTGCGGGCTGCGGGGAGACTCAAGCACATGGTGCCCTTCCTGAATGGCCAGCTCATGGTGCCAATAGTTGAAACACTTCAGGCACTTGAGGCATGGCAGCAAGCAATGTTTGGGGGAGCCCATGCAGTACACGAACAGATGCAAACCGGCGATGAGCACACAGAAGGGGAGACGGCGGCCTACAACGCGCAGACCGAGCAGCCCGTGGACAACGTGGAGAAGCTTCGCGAGGACACCGGGGGGGCAACGACCGAGCCCATGTCCGCGGAACCAAGTGGGGGAGACGGCGCCCTAACAGCCGCCCAAATGGCGCAGTTGATGACCGCGAGCCTACAAGAGGCGGTCAATGAAGTGGGGGAAATGGCGACCATCCCTACACAAGACGACAGCGAAGCTGCAACTATGCCGTGGAGTCCACCACCAATCGGGGGAGCTCCTCACCTGAGTGCCAACAGAGCACGGTCCCGATCCCCGCGTCAAGACGACGATGACGGGGGAAGCCACAGGCGAAGGCGACTTCAAGCTGCCTTTTATGGGAAGCATGGGCCCTATTGACAACCGCTGGGGGATATATATCTCAGTGAGCATGTTAGGGGGACCCACTTACGTCAATAGACAACCCACGCAGCCCATGTCTCACAGAGTGATATCAGGGCAGATGTAACCTGGTCACGAGAAGGGGGGAGTACTTACTGCAGAATATCGCATGATTATCATACTGTTATACTCTTACGGCCAGGGCCTCAGCTTGCGACTTGTCCAACTACATGTCCGTACTTCTCTAGTGTGTTGTTCGACATAAGCAAAACCGAGTCGTCAGCTCTGCCAACAAAAAAGGGGGAACCCACACTGCCACTCCCCGTAAAGACAAACCGGAGAGCAGTGAATGGGTGAACCCTTGTGCTGTGCAGCCAAGCCTCGGGGGAGAAAAACCCCCACGAGGATCCAGGACAACCCGCGAATAGCGGGTGTGCGCATTGCACGGGGGGAGGGGCCTGGATGCTGCCCCAATCCCCAAGCCCGGTAGAGAGAGAGAGAGAGAGACAGGATGACTCGGCCTAGTGCTTCAGCGACGAGGGTACCCTGGCTTTCAGGTTGTGCAAACTCGTGTAGCCAAGCAGGCAGCAAAGGCCGAAGGGCTCGGCCCTAGGCCCGGTGGTGCAAACCGTGCGAGTGAGCTCCACGAGGCTGGGGCAGACGGGGCTTATTGAGAGGGGCCCAGCTCCACTGAGTCCATTGCTTTGCCTCCCGACTGCAGACACGAACAAAGGCGCAGCGCGAGAGCGGAAGGCAGAGGTGGCCCGCTACCAATTCCCAAACGCCCGGCAAGCAAGCAAGAGCGAGACAGACAGAGCTCTGGCCTGAGCCGTCATGCCACCACAAGCTTTTCTTTTTCGATCCCCTGAATCCCGACCCGTAGTTCGGGTGGGCTTGAAACCCGGGGGACCTGACACGTTTCTCATCGTCTGGAGAGAAAGAGAGACCGCGTGGGCCCTAGCGCTCGCGCGCAGGGGTACGGGTCCGAGTGTCCCCGAGCCCAGACGCCCAGCAAGCAAGCAAACAAGAGAGCGCGTGGCACCCACCACTTGTTCCGGGGCATCAGACCTGTGTAGCCCAGCCGTCCAAGCAAAAATGGTGGGCCAACAAGCTCCGGCGCTGGGGACAGCCCGGGGCCCGTCTCGAGGGCAGGAACAGGACGGGGTACCCGACCCGGCGTCCAAGCCTCCCATGAGACCTCACGACGGTCGACGCCCTCCACTACGCATCTCTAGTCTCAGAGTCGTCCGTACCATGTGCTGTCTGAAGCTATACATTGCGACAAGTGTTGGGGCGGACAAGCTAGCTTGGGCTATCAGCAGGTATTCGCCACCCGTGAGAGAACGGCCGAAGTGCGACAACGAAGCCGCTAAGACACGGCACGACCTCGCTGAGCTACAATTCGCCCAGTGCAGTGGGAAGCTCGCGGTCGCAGATTAGACCTGCGGTGAGCGGCTTCTCGCTGAAAATGACCCGAAGAGAGAACCAGAAAGATCGGAAGGAAAGAGAACGGTCCAGAGAGATCGTGAGATTATTCTCGCGAGTTTCATGTGCCGGATCTTAGGCCTGAGTCTGATGCGGAGTATGATTGGGTCGATGCCAACGTCGTGCGAGTGAATAGCCGCATGTCTGCAACAAACCACAGGTTATGCTTCTTGCTGCAGATTTGCACGCGCCACAGGTTCATCTGTTGAACGGGAGTGCTATGGTAGGGATTTCGTCTGTCAGTGCTACGCCTCCCGATCCCTAGAGAAGGCGACCCCGGCTTGAGGTTGGCACTGGCTGGGTGTCATCGGTTCGACGTCTGGTGGCTGGACCGGGGAGCCCGGGGAGCGATGGGAAAAGTTCCTCTCACTGCTAGCGGCACCCGCAAGGACGGAGGATCCAACGAATGTCAATCGCTTGGATGGCAAGGAGTGAGGGCCTGTCCGTGTTTCCGGCCTTTGCACTTTGTCTGAATCCAATCGTCACTAGCCTTCTTTCGGAAGTCCGTCCGGGCCGTCAGCTTCGCAGGACCCCTTCCAGATCTCCAGCACGCTGTCGGCTCGACCGTCGCCGTGGCACCGCATCGACCACCGCTGGAGACCATGCGACCCTGTCGCAATTTTGCATTCCGGACCGATGGTTGAAGTGCCTTTCTCCGAGGTTACATCTTCCACAGCCGGAACAGTTATTGGAGGCCTCGGCTCCAAGTAGAGCCTGCCCAGAGCAACCTTTCAGACCGCAAGCTGGATTTGATGTTGCCCACGCCGTCCCGGCATCCATGCGATGGCCGCGAAATGTTGCGACAAATTCGCACAAGACACCAGGTATCATTGGCATGTGCAACATTGTCACGAAGGCAGCGAGTGCGAGTTTTGCCACGTCGCGGTTCTTTGTTTCCTTCTAAGAGATCAGTGGGCTGCAGCGCCTGATTGTAGGCCGGTACTTCATCTGCAAGATGCCCCTCAGGGCCCAGCCCACCTCGTGGTTCCATTTGGCGCAGTCAGGCACATGGAGACATTTGAGCGGGATGGCAATTCGAGAGTAGTACAGCTCGCCATGTCTGCAGATGCCTATCAGGATACACTTGTGGAAAGACCAGTTACAGGGACTTGGGCAGCAACGTGTCAGCAGTCATTCTTCGATTCGGTCAGCCACGACAGCCGAATAGATGTTGGTCTTAGTCCGTAGCCTTACAGGTATCAGCTGTGTGCAAAAGCAGTGCAGATTCCGCTGCAAGTATCGCCTCTTTCACGTGCGCCAAGCATAGAGTCATGCATAAGTCTAACTGCTAATCTCCAATCTTTCTTGGAGGCAGATGGCAGCAGTTTCAAATGTCCAAGAAGCACGTGCGCACGCTGCTTGTGGCCATCTGCACGTAGCTGTTCTGCATGCCGAGGTGACTTGACAATCTCCGGCTGTTACGCAGCGTCACGGAACGATGGCAACTGCAACGGTCAGGGCTTCCACTACTACCCGATTCGGCTTGGCAAGTTTGGACAGCGCAACGGCTGCAACCGGTGGAAGCATAAGGAAGGTGTGTATGCATGCGCGACAGGTACAGGAAGGCAGATTACATTCATGCCAAAGCTAACTTTGGGGCCGTCCCTGACCTGATGCAGGTGCTTCTGTGGCACGGCCACAGATGTTCGTGATGACGGCACTTGCATTAGCAAGTCGGTGGAGAGTGTGAAGAATAATGCTGACTATAACCACATCTACATGCACCTCTGTTGCATCTCCTTTTCAGGAAACTGTCGCTAGAGTCATCGAATCTGTTCTCTTCGCTTGCTTCAGCCAAGGTACAAGTTCTTTGAGTACTACTTGGCCGGTAACAATTACTGCTTGGCTGCGAACCTTTGACGCATTTTCATCAGCCTGAGTCGCGCCGGAAAGGTCGGGGAATGCACCGTGCAAAGTTCTGCCGAACTAACCCCGCACATGCATGTCACGCCTGCTTTTTTCATCACTCAGGGGCGGCCGCCGTGCTGAGGGTTCCGAATCCCCTGCCAAGACTCTGGGAACATGCCGCTTGTTCCAAAGCTTAGTATCGAAGCTCGTGGCATGCGAGCATGTATGTCTTGTCTGAGTCGCATGTTTGAGTTGTGAGACATGCAGTGCGCTGAGGTCAAGCGGCATGCTCGTCCGATGCATATTGAAGCCTGGCCGGATCGGGCTAGGCTTGTCCCAGCTAGGAAGCAGCTGAGAGTGCTCAGGACGGCGCTTTGGGTGAGGGTGAGAGCGGAGTTGAAGGGCCGGACTTCCGCCGAGGCCATGGTTTCGAGTTCTATGCCAACTCCAAGCACGAGGATTCCAAGTGCTGGTTGTTCTCGGGACATAAGTCGCCGGGCCGGAATTTGAGCTTGCAGGGCAGGTGGGAAGAGCAAGAGCTGCCAGATGCTGCTTTCGGGTAGTTGCACGTCGTAGCTCGCGCGTCAGTCTGAGGCGAGAAGGTCACATCATCCCAGTTCGAGCTTATACGGGGCGCCGATACAAAGATGCAGTGTGCTATATCAAGGCTGGGCAGTAGAGTTTCTTGCTGGTACGGGTCCGATGGAACTGCAGAGACCAAGTCGGCACTTTGAGATCTTTCCTGCCTTTTTGGCTGTGTTGTCGTCGCACAAACTTTCCTTCGTTACTTTGCCTCACTTACTTGGATTTGTTTCACAAGCTTGGCAACATCTTTGAGCTACACAGAGTGACTGAGCATGTCACCTCCCGGCTGGATACCGTACAAGCGACATCACGATCATAGTGTCACACCACATCGTAACAACATCCTGCCAACAGCGCAAGTTGTATGCCTGGCATGTCAAACAGGACAACAATCCAGGTGAAAGGTGTTACACTGTTACACCTCTTTCACAGCTCACCTTCTCGCTCTCGCCGATGTTGGTGGGTGAGTAGTGGCTCAGAAAGCATATGCCAAGACACTGCATAACTCCCCGGACCATTCACAATCCGCCACACATTGTCCAGTAGCTCCGGTTTGGCGGTTGTTTCATCGCCATTCGCTCAGGAAATCGAGGAAGGGGCTCCCACGAGTGTCGCTCGTTAGTGTTAGTGATTGTACGTGTACCCGACCCGACTCACTGCTGCGGCCATGGATGTGGCCGTTGATGCTGCATGTTCTGTCCTGTGAGATTGGCAAAGCAGTTGACCTTGCAAAGTTGCTGATGGTGATGGTGAGCAATTTCGGTGCATTAGAGATCTTGAAGCTGCCACCTACAAGACTGTGCATCCGATGCAGGCTCCGTATCTCGAAGATGGATGTGCAAACGACTATGGAATCCCAGGCTATAAGTTCTCGCACTTGGGCATCTCAGCTGAGATTGCTTGCGGGAGGGCTTTCTTGATCATGCATCATGTTGGGGTGGGTTCTCTTCTGCCAGACCCGTCGCTTCCTTGGGAACTAGACATGGTCTTGATTTACACATTCTGCTATGCTTCCTGTTGCATGTATGATGTGGAGCTTTTGATGAAAGAGCCCAGGCTACTGGTACATGCATATCCGCACCTCTGCGGGCGATGCCAGCTTGTCGTCTTGTGCTACGCAGTGCGACCGTGCACGTTATGCATGCATCGGCTTCCACTTGTTTGAGGCCCCTGGACTGGACAGGTTTGAGCGGTAGTTGCTGCGTTGCTGGGTGCGTCGGTTGATAGTACCGGTTGCCTGTCCTGGGCTTACTGCGGATCTGTGGCGTGCCTGCTGAACCGACGGATGCAGGTCGTTTCGTGTGCTGTGTGTAGAAATGATGGCTTGGCCTAGACCTCCGCAGCACCTCCATCATCTTTGGGCTCTCTCAACAAGCTAAGGACGGAAATGCAAGGCATTGTTACCTGTGTCTTGGCTTGCAGAATCCCTCACCCACACACACAGACATTCGCACGAACTCCATCCCGTTGACCAGCCTGATCTGCACATTTTCGGCACGAAAGCCGACCTTTCCAAGGTACAAACAAGAGCGAGCCTTCCATTGGTCCGTCAGTGATGGGCGGGCCAAAGCCTTCGTCAAATGCGCCTGGCTTAAGACGGGGAACACGTTGCTGCTGTCTCTGTTCCGACCATGGTATGGATGGAAGTTGGAGCAATCCAGACTGTTGTCCAATGGTCTTTCTTGGGCAAGTAGGGTAACTTTCGGAGCCTGGCCTCCGCTGAGAAGTGTTGTTTTGATTTTGAACTCTGTCCCGGTGTTGCTTCAAGAACATGCCAATGCATCCATCTCGTTATTGCGATGAAACAAGCTAGTTCCAAAAGCCCTTATTCGCCTTCGATTCCTTGGGCAAAGAGGGCGACCTGTAGGCTAAGTTGTCTTCGTCAGAAGAGATGTTCAAGTCTTCTGGATCAGCCCAAATCTGATCTTGCCGCCGGTAGCCTGAGCTGAGGCAAACAACCAACTTACCATGCCAACGATCAAAGCCGGGAACTGAGGACGGCCTAAAAGCCATGCTTGAGAAAGAAGCTGCAAGAGAGTATATCGTTTATCAACGTGTGTGTGTGTGTGTGCAGCGGCTGCCATGGTTTACGAAGTTGACAGTGTGCATCCGGACGCTGGCTCGGGTCAAGTCCTTCCATCGTGATCATCATCGTCATCAGTGTCATGGCGGCGCCACTGAAGTCGACAGTTCTCGCCCGTGGTGGCCTCGTGCTGCACGACAAGCATCCAAGGTGTCGGCTGGAAGCATTTCTCCGACCACTGCGAGGTCGCTGCGCATGTCAAGTCAGAGCTCCATGCGGGGGTTACCAGCTGCCTGCGCGACACAGAGTATGTAGAATGCCTCTACAGTATCCCAGCGACGTTCCTTTCAGTCGCGACTCTGTTGAATACGGAAGCAGGAGAAAGGCCAGCGGCTATGCAGCTATCAGGACCCGGCTGTGAAATCACAGCTGGCCTTCGCCGCCAAACTTTTCTTTCACAAATTCGTTTGGAGGAGATATGTCCAGCCGGACGAGGCCGCGAGCCTGTCGGAGGAAGACAGCCTCTCGGCGGGCCCGGGATAGTCCTTAGGCCAGGCCTTGCCCTAGGCCTTAAGTGCCGTCTTCGTCTTGCATCTCGTAGGGACGTATATGAAGCACGACCGCGGCTTTTGCTGATTGCATTCGCCAGATGGAAAGCCTTGGTGCTGCCTAGGGCTGCAGTGCAAATATTGGAGCCGAGGGCGCAAACTGATGCTTGGTGCCCCATCGTGGACAACAAAGCTCCAAACTATGTTCGGTGTGGGAACGTTGGCACTGTCTGTCAGAAGCTCACAGAGTTTGGCGCGCTTGCGCGGCAGCCGCTTGTCTGTCACTTCAGGCAGCTATGAAGGAGTAGAACAGGGTAGTAGTGATAGTAGTGGAAAGTTTTGGGTGCAAAATTCACTTCGCCGGTTGGCCGCAAAGGAGAGACAGATGGCCTTTGGCGGACACACGGCCTGACTTGAAGGATGCCTTCGCTTGCTGCGACTCCTAGCATCGCCTAGCTCATGTTCACCGTCGGCGGCTCCTGCTTCGTTTTTCCAGGGGAGGAAAGCTTCCTGCTGCCATCTAAACGGAGGCGATATGCACTTGAAGATGAGATGTGGTACCCATCTGGCAGCAAAACATTGCCTGCAACACCCCGACCTGTTGGTTAGTGTCAGAGTGATTGGAACACATTGGAACATGGCCGCACTTTCGAGCTGCTCAAGGCGGGTTGGATACTCAAAATGATTTGTGCGCTCTGCAGCCCGTTTGGCTTCAAGACCTGACTGGGGCTAGTTGAGCTTTTTGTGTTCCTGGCCTTCCGCAACATGGAGTCTCTGCAGGTGGAGGACGGATGAAAACGGTTGGGGTCTATATTTGAGGTTTGTCACATCCGAGCTGCCACTGTTTGACGGCCTCGCGATGTGGTAGAGTAGAGAGTAGAGCCTTTGCCGAATTCTTGTTTGTGTTTCCAGGAGCCTCCTAGGCCTTCCCGCCGCCGCTCCTGGCCTCCGGATCCCGCAAACCGCCAGCGGCGCAACAGCAGCATCGTGGTGAAGGCAAGGAACTAACTAAAGGAAATAGGAAAGGAAGGAGAGTACTTAGACGAGTTGTCCTTATCCTCCATCTTCTAGTCATTGGTCTATATTTGTCTTGAGTTCAGGGCCGGAGCAGCTCAGTGGCGCTCCACGATGCAGCTTCGCGTATGTCCACCTGCGTGTATCTACAGACCTCGGGCCTCAGTGTGACGCAGGCTGACGCAGGTTTCCAAATCGGCCAATAAAGAACCTTGTTGAGCATACAGTAGCATTCCTTCCTGGTTCCGGATCTTTCAGGCAACTCTGGTGGCTTTCAACTCTGCAGTTGGCAGCACAGTGGCGTTGGTCGGCTATTATCCCAGCCAAAGTGGATGGCAAGCCTTTGCTGTCATCATGCTGGTCGTGGCCATTACAGCGATGGCCCAGCAAAGCGCACTTATCTCGACAAGCTGCCAACTTGGAGCCGGAACCTTCGATGAGCTGTGCCAGCCGCTTCCCATTTGGTCCGGCAGGGTCACCGTTGCGAGCTTCCTACTCTACTACTGGGGCTGCTTGGGCTTCTACGCTCAATTCGTCGAGGCGGGAGCACAAAGCTGTGACAGCGACGCAGCTCCCTCCCTCAGAGCCCCCTGTGTCTGCAGGTTTTCTTGGCCGACCAGCTTTGCCATCTCTTGTGTCAAAGCGGAAGCCCCTGGCTCTGCCAAAGCGAACATCGCCTCGGTCTTCTTGTTTTCCTTCTCTTAGCTGTGGTGAGTTGGCCGCCGCAGTTGAGTGGGACCGCGGCGGTCTTCATCAATAACATGAACTTCCTGGTCAAGTGGGTAGTGATAGTAACGGCTGTAGCGAAAGGTGTTTACACGGTGATATCAGTCGATGCAGAGAGAGACTATGTAGCGTGGGCACCCAGTGGTTTTGTGCGGATTGCGTGCTTGTTAATGTCTTCCTATGCCAACACCGGTATTATGCCCCAGATTGCTGCAGATGTTGACAAGTCGCAGCAAGAGCGAGCAGCAAAACTCTGCCCAGTCATTGCAGTGAGCCTTCAGCTCCTGGTTTATTTTGCGGTGGCATACAGTGCATACTTCGCCCTCGGCGATGCAGTTAAGACAGGCGTTTTCGCCACGTACAACAAGATCTATCCGGGCTACATGACAGTCATTTTGCAGGGTGGGATGGCCCTGTTGACTTTCTTGTCATCCCCGCTGCTCATCATTCCACTGAAGGTTTGGATCTGAGTTTTGTAGAGCTGCGGGCATGCGCTCTTGCTTCTAGCTCTTGACGGTATTCCCAAGCCTCGTCATGTCAACACAAGACACAAGCATCACAGGTGGTCTTGTTTTCATAATGCTTGTCATGCCATGTGTGGAAGCATGCACAGGTTCAGTTCGCTAGCCGGGGGTGACACGCAGGCCATGGCTGGAGTGCAGTCTTGAGGGTTCCAGGCAATGGGGCTTTAACACAGCACCGACTGCACAGCAGGACGAGTATCGAGTGTGCAGTGTCAAGACAGTCTTTCATCAGACTCTAACTTTGGCGTGGTAGATGGATGCTTGTCGAGCAGCGGTAAACAAAAGTGAAGCTGCAGTGCTTGTCTTCGACGTCTCGTGCTACCTCTGCTTCTTGCTCTGCCCCCTGGCCACACTATCGGCGGCCCCTGCCCAAACCAAGTTGTGCGCAGACCCTACAAGGCAATGCGTGAGCACGAATGGACGTCTCGCCGAAGGCGAAAGCCTTGACCCACGCGCAAAACGGTGCTGGAGCAAGCGAGTGCGATTGAACTATGGGCATCCACCGGACAACGCCGTCGCAAGCCTCCTGCTTTCGACACTCACCAATCTCCGCAGGCACACCGCAGGTCCAAGCATCGCCGAGTCGCCGAGAGCATTGCCACAACCTCCAGGGAGCGATCGGCTGGAAATCTCGGGGGCAAGCGCGCTTCACTTCGCTCTCAGGGGCGTTCCCAAGAGTGGCTCTCCATCTTTTGTTTCTGAGTGCGGCTGCGACCCCTCCGGCGTTTCCCTCCAAAGGGCGGCGCTCCAAAGCACGTCCCAAAGCGCGAGAAAGGTCAGCAGGCGCTTGGAAGTCTTTGCACATTTCTGGAGACTGGCGCAGTTCCACCAGAAGTTGCCGAAGGCACTACCCAGACTTGGCTTGAGCAGAGAGGAACAGCGGTGGTTGCGGGACAGGAATCGGTTTCTCGAGGACAGCGGAGAGCCACAGGAAGTGGAGCGACCGGGATCAGGCAGCAAAAAGTCAAAGGAGATCAAGAGGCACCGGACCTGGCAACTCGGAGGCTAATACAACATAGGACAGAGAAGAGGCGAGTTGATCAGGGACTCATACCAGGAGATCTCGAAGCAAGGAGGAGAGTGACAAGGGACTTTGAACATAGATAAAAGCAGGATCAAGGCATGTAGCAACACCGACAAGCACAGGCAAAAAACAGCGAGAAGTGTTTGAACTCGTGTCTTTGCCAGCTGGGCGATCTCGAGAAAACATAATGGATATCTGAAAAGCAGGCCTGTGAACGTGCAAGCCAAAGCAAGGCTCGGATGATAAATTTGCGTCCGAGTAAACTATGAAACAAAAGGCAGAGTGCACAGAACATCACAGAAGCTGTCTGATCAAACCGGTAGATCCGACCATTCGGACGACCGCGGCAGAAAATCTTGTTGACCGTGTTGGTCGGCAGAATGTGAAGCAGTTGAAGTGAAGTCCAGGCCAAGGTGCATAGCCGACGTGCATACAGTGTGCGAGCCAGAACTTTCAGAAATTTGTTTCTCTTTTCTGCCGCCTATGTTTGCACCGGAGCACTGGTTGTATGTTCCGAGGCCCAGATTTATGGTCTCTTGTCTCCCAGAAGCGATGGCGAAGCGGCAGACCTGTCACAAGCTCCAAGCAGCCTGCAGGTGCGACTCTATGCTCGGAGTTGGTTTGCAGTTCTGGACTCGTCGTCAGAGTTAGGCTTGAACTGTAGAGGTTGTCGAGAAGTTCGCATGAGTCCAGTTCGTTAAAGGTGGCAGAGGGAGGGGCATCTATTTCCATGCCTTGACCAGGGCGGCCTCACCTTGAGCCTGGCTTTCACTGGTGCCATAGCTCCTTGCATCGTGGGCCCGGAGGCCAGCTATCCTGCTTTCAGCCAGATCCTGCTTGCACACCGCAGTCCAGAAAGATTTTCTCAATTGGATGACATAGGAGGTCTCTTTTCGGAACTGGATCCATGTATCCTTCGTGTCATGAGCAAGCCTGCGAGATCATGGGAATTTGTCTGGGAGCACTCAAAACTTCATAAGTTGTTAAGGATCCTGTCGAGACCACATGCGGATGGCATGCACGGTCACCAGGTTTTTGCTGAAGCACTGTTGATGTCAAACCAACAATTTTGCTGAAGCACTGTTGATGTCAAGCCAAAAGATCTTCCAAGTGTTTAAGTCCTACAGTCCTCATGCCTAAGCCTTGAGCCATGTGAGGCTTTCACCAACTTCCTTTTCTTTTTGGCCTGCACGTGCGGCAACTGGTTAAACTTCTTCTTGCCTGCCATGGTCGTGCTGTACTGTCAGGCCCCGGTCTAGGACACGCACCACGGTGCCAAAGTCAAAGCGATCCCTTGCCTAAGGTTTTGTCTCCGAGCTACAAAGGCGGCAAGAGCCTGGCAACATTCCTCTGCTGCTGGCTCTTCTTCCTGGGTGGTTTAGGCGTGCTGCGACTGCACGTTTGTGATCATTCCATCGAACTCCAAGCCCATTCAAAGTGGGTCTTGCATGCGAGAGCATGCATGCATGGATGGATGTTTGTTTGTCCGTCTGTATGTATGCAGCTAGGTCGGTAGGTAGGCAGGAAGGTAGATAAGAAGGCAGGACGGTAGCTATGTAGGTGGGTAAGTGGGTGGCACTGGCGCGATCAACTTCCTCCAGCCAGCTGCTTTATCGCTAAGTTGGGTTGAGTCAACTAGAGAGGCGTCTGGGCAAACAAAGACCCACGGTGGTCCACTCGGCAAGCGTATCTGCATTTGCAAAGCTCTCATCCGTGTCAATCCGCGGGGTGCCGTCACTTCGTACAGAAGCATGCTCAAGACTCACAGAACCTGCAGAATCGAACGGTTTCCATTCATCGGCAAGGCTTGCACACAGCATGTGCTTTGTTCAGGAATGGTCAGTTGCATTTGCACACACATTGCAAGTACACAGTACACTGTATGCGGGAGCTGTAAGAACTTGTTCTAAAGATTCTAGTCATTGACGCCCATGCCCATACTGGCCCGTACTTTATACGAAGGGTTCAAGGTGCAAGGTGAGCGGCTCCATAGAGGAGAGTTGCTTGGACATGCGACAGTAAAGTGGGACAAGACTATGAGGGGATGCTACTTCAACTTGGTCAGACTTCTAGAGCGCACCGGACCGTAGAGGGTTTACGATTCAAGGCTTTAAGATTGCAATGATTGTAGGATTGCCGGCATTAGGGGTATCCGGATGTGGGGTTTTTAGGGGCTACAAGTTTGTCAAGTTTGTGGGTCAAGATGTGGAGCTTGCAAGTTTGAGCCATGCGGGTGATTGACTGTTCCCTGGCTCCGTGCTTCTGGTGTGTTCAAGGCGTTGTAGTAAAGCCTGGCAGGTTGACAGTGTGTGGGGCTAGATCTGTCAAGTGTAGCGATCTGAAAAAGCTGTTGCACAATTGACGAAAACCATCTGCGTTGCCGTGCGGTCTTTCACAGCTCTCTTCCATCCCCCATGCGCCGAATCTTTATTATACGCTGGCGCCTCCCCGGGAAGACCCTGATGCATTGGAGCAGCAACAGCTAGGGCCATTTTGGCACGCAGATTGTTGTGTTTTCAATCGTGCCATGTGTCTCCGCTGTTGCACGGACAGGCTGACTTGAATGACTGGCTGATGGTCGTACCAAGGAAAGACTCTTGAATATGCACATACTAATGCTCGCGCACAGCCCGTTCATTTTTTGCCTTCGAGAAAAAGCTGGCTTCAGGAATCGTGAGCTGCTTTATCCATGCCTGGCAGGCCTTATCGATGCCGGGTTCCAGATTTTGGAGTCGCTGGAAAAGGCGGATTGCAGCCATGAGCTTGTCGTTCTTGCTAGCAGTTTGGGCTGCTTCAGGACTCTGGCGCTACCCGTGTTCCCCTTGCGACCAGTTGCGCAGAATGGGGGCTTCTTGACTTTGAACACGCGAGTCGAGGAGGTGGGGTTTGTACCAGGGTTTTCGGGTATAGGACTTTGCAACGTGCGTGCATAGTCTCGCCAATATGTCTATTCAAGGAAAGCCAGCGCTTTGATGGTCGCCTGACCGGAATCTGCGACCTTTCCGGGCTCTTACTCGTCCAGTAGATCGGTTCAAATCATAAAAAAGGCTTCCGTCCGATACAAACATATTCCTGTTGTATATATCTATTTATCTATCTATCTATCTATCTATATATATATATATATATATATATATATATATATATATATATATATTACATGGTATCCCCCGGAGTTATCCACCATTTTTGGTGTAAATCCTGTGCCTTCTGCCCTGATCCCCTCCTCCTTCACTTATCTGGCAGCTTACAAGAAAACCTGGTATGTGTGTATGTGTATACTCTGAACCCTAGTATGTGTGCAGCAGTACACAGATGCTAGAGAGCGCACATGCTTGCGCATATGGTGAGGACCATGAGAGCAATCAAGATACATCCCGAGTGTCCCATGAGGCCTATTGAAGAATACATCCAGTAGGGCTGTTGTATTGAAGATTGAAATCACGAAAGCTAGCGTAGCTAGTCTTTCATTTCTATCCACGTTAGTAGTGAAGCGGGATTCTGTCAACATCTGGTGCAAACCTGAATACATCAGGAAAACCCCCTCCCGCCCTCCCCCCCCTCCTGACTAATTTGAGGGGCAGGGCCGGCCCAACGCGAGCTAGATGCACTGTGTTAGGCACCAATATATATGTATATGGAAATTATATATTACCTGTTATAAAGGGACGGATTATCTCTAGATTCGTTGCTTTGCGCCGAAACG